AAAAAAAAAACAACAAAAAACAACAACAACAACAAAAAAATAATGGCAGTGATGATTTTTTAATTGATTAAAATTAAGGGTTTCTCTTTTCAGTTGTGGTGGTAATCTACTGCTTAACATTGGTCCATCATCTGAGGGTCGAATCCTGCCGATATTCCAGGAAAGGCTTTTACAAATTGGACAGTGGTTGAGTATCAATGGAGAAGCTATATATGAAACTACACCATGGAGAAAACAAAATGACACCATAACTAATAATATCTGGTAGGAATATTTTTTATTACTGATTTGAAAGCAACAGAAAATTAAACAGATAAAGGGAGAATAGGGATATCATTTCTGTTATCCCAAATAGAAGCATTATAAAATGTATCAAACATTTTAACTTTTTTAAACACAAATATGGAAATCTGAAACCAGGCACTTCCTCCTTATGCTACAGCACTGAAGAAGGATGATGATGATGATGATAGTATTTGAAGATGGTATTGATGATAATGATTATAGAGAATAATCTTTAATGATGACGATGGTGGTGGTGGTGGTGGTGGTGGCGGCGGTGGCGGCGGCGGCGGCGATTATGGTATTGATGATAATGATTATAGAGAATAATCTTTACAGTGCGGACACTCAACACTTCAAGGTTTTTTGACATTTTTTCATAACTATCCAATCACAGCTCTCTGCGGAAACAAAGGAATCAAACATCTTTAGGCGCCATGCAATCACAACAAACTGCGGAAAATCTTTAAATGTTTTATTTTTTAGCTCACTCTTTGTGAACTAGTGAACTGCTAGACTGTCACACAAAGTGCAAACTTTCAATAATTTACAGAAATAAAACAAAAATGTCGTTCATTGATGAAGTAGTTGTTATGAAATAATTGATACACTTTATATTGTAAATTTTTAAAAACTTTAACGGCAACCACAACCCAAGAGACTGTAAGAATCTGGCTTCTGATTGGATTATTCGAGAAATGTTAAAAAAACCTTGAAGTGTTCATGGTTCGAGTGCCGCACAGTGACAATGATGGTGGTGATGGTGATGATGATGATATGGATAATGATGATGATGATGATGATGTGGATCGTAATGATGGCGATGATTATGGCTATTTTTAAATAAATACTTATCCAAATCTGTTCTTTGACCTCGAGAAATCACATTTAACAAGAAAAAAAAAGATGATAGTTATTCATTTGTCTCACGATTGTGGCAATTGGAAGAACCGCTACTGCTAGTCTTCATCAGACGATGGTGTAGGCTGGAAGGTCTTCAATTCCCCCCCTCTCTTTCCATTTCCTCACGGCCCCCAGCCAGGAACACCTGCCACGCAGTCTAGTTTTACACAGGAAGACAAGCTTTAGCATAATCAAAGATTCTGATAATCATTCTAAAAATGTTTGAATACCATCTTTTCAGGTACACCTCAAAGGGCACTGTAGTATATGCTGTTTCTTTGGATTGGCCAGGGTCTGGGAGCCTCAGCCTTGGAGCACCATATGTCATGAACAGCACGCTTGTCAAACTGCTTGGATATGACCAGAAATTATCCTGGACTAAAGGATCCAAGGGTGGGATTGTGATAGATGTTCCTGCTATTCCTATCAACCAGCTGAAGTCTAAATGGGCGTGGACTTTTAAATTAGAAAACGTTAATTGATGCAACGGATCGATTCAGTAGAAGTCAGTCCATACCATCGCTGTACGTGAACGCTGAAATTAACGTAAACCAATCGTTATTAAATATTCTTTTCTAAATTTTTATAACTCATATTTTTATTATTAGCATTATTCTTATCAGTTTTTTTGTAAGTAACATCATCTGTACCCTGAATTTTATGTACCCTTTATTTGTCTTGATATTTTTTTTGTAATTGCTTTTGTTAGTCTAATTTAATTTGATTTTTTGTTAATGGTGTTGACACCATCTAAATTTTTTAAAATCTTAAAATGTCTTGCAGCTTCAATGAAAATATAAAAATATGATAAAAATACTTAGAAAAGCATTTTGGTAGTAGAGTTGCACCACCTCTCTGGGTGTACTCAAGTTGTATACACTCAATAAGCCTGAACCGAGATGACGTTTTACCCCCGACTCTATACCATAATAGTTTTTAAAATTCTTTCATATTAAAATTTTTGATTCCTTAGAGAATACAGGAACAATAGTCATAATTAAAGAACAAAAGCAGTGTGAAAAGGATTATGGTCTAGAGACGGGGGTAAAACGTCATCTCGCTTCAGGCTTATTGAAGAATCGTTGTTGGGTTCAGAAACATAGAACATAGAAGCTGAGACCGAAATGGCACACGGGAAATGACAATTTATTCATTTGCGCCATCCATGCAGTCGGTTTAGAATGCCGAACGCGTATCAAAAAGAGTGGATGATGCCTGGGGTCGCCGGTCACAGCATGCATCTAATTAACGTACTTCCCATGTGCCATTTCGGTCTCAGCTTCTATGTTCTATGTTTCTGAACCCAACAACGATTCTTCCATTGAGTGTATGGCGAGAATATTATCTAAAAGGCCCATCCAAGTTCTTAATTCAGTTGTTGTAAAGCATTATGGGATTCAAGCCCTTAAACGATCGTGATTTAGCCCTTACTATTTGGGGCTCCTGTGGAACAGCCCGAGTCATTATTTTTTCCCTTCACGAAAAGACATTACATCAGCACAACGCATGCTGGTCCCGCAGTTATCCCGTGTCCCGCAGTTATCTCTCGAGCGCTAGTCGGGTGGTCCGAATGAATTCCGGAAATTAATGTTTGAATAATGAGAATGCTCTAGAAATTTACTGTACTGAATGAATGAAGGCTCAAGTACATTGTTTTTAAAGTCTATAAACATAAATAATTGCATACCGAGTTGTCGATTGGATTTTGATATGGAGTACATTCTTTAGATTCTTCTGGAAAATACGCTTATCTCGCATACACGATTTTTCTCTGTTCAACTGACACCACAGTTTTGCAGTGTCGTCACTTTTACGTTACTATGTAATGCTCGAAATTTTTGTATTTGGATACCATTTGAGGAAAGATAATTAAAGTTACATAGACAAGAGACCGTTGAAGGTTTTCTTAGATTTCACGAAAAAGCAAAAAATGGCCTGGGGATGCGTAAAAACCCTTACTTCCAACTCTTATGATTTTCAAACTCTTTTCCTACTCGCTCTCCCGAAAAGTGCGAGAAGCACTCACCTAGTGCTTCTCCTTACACTTCCTTCGTGCTTGCGCCACTCCCTGCGTGTTTTATTACTGAACGGAGCACGGAAAAAGCTCGTTAAATAGATTCGACTGAAGTTCTTAACCAGACGCGAAGACATTCTTCGTCTATGATAAATCACAAGCATATTTCAGTTTTGAAAAACATTAATACTCGAGTACTAAGAAATGATCAGTGATCTACAGAATAAAGAAAAGCTGGCTCATTTTTTACGCGACTTGAAGTTGTGAAAGGCCCATTGGCCCTCTTCTTCAGTCGTTTATTTCTAGAATAAAGAAAAGCTAAGTTCAAGAACATTACTAAAGGAATTTGTATGGAAAATCTACTAACCTAACCGTGAAAATAAAACGTTTTTGAGGGAGTTTAAAATACTATAGTCGAGTTCTGCACGCAGGCTATCGAGGTAGCGCTCGTTCTCGTAACGGGGCCCCTGTGGTGGATCACCCGCTGACCTATCGTACTTGATGTTCGCATTCCAGCAATCACGTCGTTGAACTAACGTAGTGTTGAAGTTTACAGTTTGTCGACGCTTCATCTATCTGGTGATGTTTCTTTCTGCTTTTTCACTCATCTATCCTTGATGGTAAGGTCAGTATATACCCGTTAGTTTATTCATTAGGTTTAAAGTTAAAATATTTCGTGTTTTGGCAAATTTTGAGAGGTTTAAAGAAGACATCTTCCCGAGCGACAAAGATGGCGCCAAAATACAAAGTTTTGGCTCACATAAAAAATGGCCATGAAACTCAGATTCCTAGTGACTTTTAATGCAACAAAACAGGATAATTAGGAATCATACGTGTTTTTGAAAGCCTTCCGGCCTTTCTACTAGTCGAATTCGGACTTATTGGCATGAATGATAGTTTTCCGTTTGTGACTGGCGAAGTAAACCACGCGGGATGGTTGGGAGAACAAGATAAAAGATCAGACTACCTTTTCGAGTGATCTCCCAACCATCCCAATTGGTTTATTTCGCCTGTAACCACGGAAAACTATCATTTATTGCAGTTATGTTATAGTCCAAGATAAAATAAACTGCTCAAATTACGGATAACAATAGCTCATTTCTATTTTTTGATAAACATCTTGTTTCTCCTTACTTCATCAACACTTGTTTTATCAATCAAGTCGCAGAGAAAAAAATAATGCTACTACAGCAAACTTATACCCCATTCACACCTAAACCTGTTTAGTTAAACTGTGTTTTCATTAGGGGGAAAAAAAAAGAGAAACTAGAAACCTAAATTTTAATGAAACTTTCTCAAATATTATCAGAGCAAGACAAAGAAAAGCTTACATGTATATTCATTTTACCAAAGATTGTGCAGTGTTGGTAGATAGTTTTTTTCAAACCTGTTTAAATAAACCACTTTAACACATGTTTAAGCCTTGGTGTGAATGAAGTATTAGATTTAACAAGACCCTGGGCTCAGGGTGCGCAGGGATACCTGGTAAAGATGGGCCTGGTTATGAAATATAGGCATGAAATCGAAATATGTGATGTGATTGCTGGAAAGGTTGGGCATCTAGAGAAGTAATGTTAGACATTTACACTTTTGGTAGGTGTCTCTGTTGTGATTTAATTTATTGATGCTTTTGATGAAATAAATAAGTGGGCATTTTGAATTGAGTCGATCAGCAATGCACAGTAAAACTATACAGAATTTATTCGTGAACACTTTCTCAGAAAGAAAAATCAAAACAAACCTTACTCATCAAAGTTATCGAAAACCTCAATCTGAAAAACTCCAATTCCAGTTCCAGTCCGGATTTGGGCATATGTATTTAGTTTTCGTGAACGTGCTCATTCGCACGAAAATCATATAGCTCGCTTTGAAATCAAAATGCTTCATTTAAAACGTAAATACAGGCTAATATTTGCTCAAGACCTCTCTCATAATGGATTTAAATTTTACATTTTATCGATATTTTTAAATGGATTGCCATTTTTTGAAGAAAAATTAAAGGAGATCATACGCTTCGAACGGCAAAGATCAAACCCTGGAATAGAAGTCTTGAGCAAATATTAGAAATATTAATAAATATTGCTATGTACCTCATGTTCCTTTGTGAGTAGACTTTGAAGCCAAAACAGTTAATGTGAATACATAAAAATAGGTTATAAGACTATATGAAATATACTGAATGAAATATTTGTTTACTACAATATCGCTTATTGTATAATTCTGACTCTTGAAACCCTGTTCTCCTCATCGATCTTYGCTTGTTYGTGCAGAAAACACTGTTCGAGTAGATGAATCATGAATAGATAAACCAACACAAGGTTTTGCCCATGAAGTTCATTGAAAATTCTTGGGAATAATTGCTTCAAAATCATCTCTATCTTCTTGGCTTGAAATCCTTGACTGCAAAATTGATAAATTAATATTTCTAGCTCGGCTGTCTTTAATTATGGCAGAGAACAAAATAGAGCGTGTGTAGACATAAACCTCAACTCCGGTTTAATTAAACTTTCTACATTTGCTCCAGAAACAGCTACATACGCCGAATCTGTGTCCATCTTGCAATACTGAAAATCAATACAGTCCACATAATCTAAAAAATCATAAAATTCTAGCATGCGTAATTTAGCGCATTGGTAAACAAAGAATCACATCTGCATGGGAAGATTCAGATTGATGCATTTCTTCGCCAACTGTACCTCGTAGGTATCCTCGTCTATGGGGTCTGAACACATGTCCATCATCACAGAACTTTACTTCTGTGCTTCATCTGGTTCGTGATGGTTTTTCCATAACTAGAATTTCCAACCTGATAATTGAGAATGAAAGCAAAAATTAATCAATTGTATTATGTAAATTCGTGAAGTATCAACGACTTACCAGTTTCATTATATCTGCGATGATGGCTTTACTGGGATCAACATCCCCGGCTCTTCTCGCATCAGACACGGCATTACCTGATGGTTTGAAGCAATGGTTAGGAGTGAACTCTACCACTTGATAGATCTTTGTCACTTCTAACCCGTGCTCCAAATACCATTTCAGTAACGGAGTGGCCAGCAAAATTTTCTCTCCCTTCATACTTCCAATCAAGCTACGGCCAACTGTGGCATAAGGTCATGGTCTTCGGCAAACTGCTTCATATGATCCCCAATATCTTCTCGAACTCCAGAACTTTGTTATTGCATTCCACCTCTCCAAATAAAGACCCATTCACAACCAATTCTAAAATCTGTTGTTCATTGAGAGCCCAACAATGGTCCAGGGGCTTGAGCTTGATAAATTTAACCTTTTCTCTAAAATGTTTTGAAAATATAATAACAAAAGACTAGTAATTACAACTAATTAGCGGTTATTCAGGGGGGAAACAAAACAGGCGCATCTTTTTACTATGTTTTGACTTTTTTAAAAATGAATTACTAACCTCTTGAAATAATGCTTGGTGTCACTCTCTAGATTCTTCAAGTGGCAGCCATTATGGACAGCCAAACACCGAAAAAAGCATAGGTTGTCTTTATAGGGACGTCCAGTATTCTTGTTGCACTCCAAACTCACAATAGCTTTGTTGTTGAGAATAGTGTGAATATTCTGGTGCCTCTTGAGAAGATCAGTACTCTTCAACCGAGATATTCTTGTTGGTCAAGGATGAGTAGAACGCTTGGCGTGGAGGGAGATCAGGATGAGTGAGCTTGTGTAAACTGTTTACCCACTAGTACTGAAAGATGCCTAGAAAAAAAAAAAAAAGAAAGAAATAAGAAAGTAGTGTCATTAACAGAGAAAAATTCTTTTTAAGAGAATAATTTTAAATAGGTAACTAACCTTTAGCAGCCGGACAATCATAGGCTTTCAGGAACTGTGCATAACTGAACCCTGGCACTAAGTAATTTGTAATGTCCAGGAATTTCAGATGTTAAGTTTTCAAACACGTGGTTGTTGTTCCTCTTTATGGTGAACTTTATGGATTCATATTTCACTAAGAATGGGAGCTGGAACTCTTTCACCCTGTTCAGATCATACTTTCCTGAATTGAACCCAAGGACTGGCATCTCTTATTTATTCATTTATTTATTTATTAATTAATTTGAAAACATAGATTCATCGGGTATTAAAAACCCGACTACACTGTACTTTCTTAAGGTCTTTGCTTTGAGAATAGCAAGTAGGGGAGCAAATGTAGAAGTTTATAGTAGGTTGGATAGCCCTGACCATAAGCAAGAAAAAACAGAGTTGTCGCCAGGAAAACTAAACTTCTATTAGATGTCAGTACCACTTGACTGCTGGCATAATGCAGTTTATTGGAGCCACCTGAGCATGAAAACCACTCTTTTACTTCACCACCAAGGCCTTATTCGTTWATTTTTACTGGTTACAGTTTTCCTCCAAGACGATAAATAAACAAATTAATTGAGTGTGTGTGTAAATGAATGAGCATGTGCAGGTCTTTTACAATTCTTTCCCACTAAATATTGTTAAACACGCAATGAAGAAAAAAATATTTAATATAAGATGGTTCTGCTTTTTTTGTGTTCAAAGTATTTTTCATGCTTTATAATTTATTGGTCGAAAGTAGTAAAGTAACCATAATAGACTCTGTAGAAGTACTTACTTTGAAAGCATTGTAAACCTTTTTTCTTTGGTTAAAGATTGAAGAATGATTGCCACTATTTCTCCTGGCCTTCTCATCCTGGCTGTCCACAAATTTAGTGGTACAAGGTTCTTTGTGCCAACTTCCCATATTACTTTGACATCTTCTAAGCTCTCCACATTTCTTGGGATGTGCAAATCTCTAAGCCATCGATGTGAACAAGTAGTGTGTTGAGCAGGTATCTGGTCTTTTCGCTACCTTGCACTTTCGCTACTTACCTAAAAGGTCGATTTGCTACTTAATAGAAGTCGATTCGCTACCTTATCTCAAAGTGTTAAATATCACAATATCAGGAAGATATATTACATATATATTAATTTTGAGTCTATATCGATAATTTTAAATTGTGTTTTACGGCATTGAAAGTTATCAATTTTCTGGTCAGATTTCGATTGAGTGATCTAAACCTAGCGAAGAGAAGATATTTACATCTCATTTACGTGCGAGTTAACGAGGACTAACAGAATCTTGAATTCAATGAAGAACTTTTCTGACAAATAAAAAATTTTAGTTACAAAGAAGAAATCTAGTCGAGTTTTTCAGAGTTATTTTGGCTTGCTTCATAGTAAAGTAGCGATTTGACTCTTGGCATTGTGTGACCAAACAAATCGAAAGCTATGAAAAATGAAGGCTTATTTTTATCCCCGCTCTTGCTTGATGACTAAAAGTTTGACTTTAAGATAAAAGGGTTTATGTCAAGAAAGAATTTTAGCTACAAAACAAGCAATCTAGTGAAGCTTTTTTAGAGTTTTTTGGCTTCATAGTAAAGTAGCAAATGGACTCCTGGCGTGATGCGTGATGCGTATTTTAAAGTCTTACTTAGTCATCAAGCAAAAGTGGAGACAAAAAAAGGCTACGTTTCTCGTTTCTCATAGCTTTCGATTTGTTTGTTGTAACACAATGCCATGAGTCCATTTGCTACTTTACTACGAAGCCAAAATAACTCCACTAGATTGCTTGCTTCAAAGCTAAAACACTTCCTTGACATAAATATCCTTCAAAAAATTTCCTAAGAAATGAGCGAAAGCAAGAACTCTGTTTGATATAACAGATCACAAGACGGATATTCGGCCGACTTCTCCATTATGCCAAATACGCTTTGAAATTTCTTTCTTTAAGAAAACATTCAAATAATAATAGATTACTTAAAATTACTGATAATAAACAATCCAAAATGTTATAGAGGAGGTTTACAGGCATCTTAAGATAAAGTAGCGATTGTGCTTCTTCGAGGTAGCAAATCGATTTCTATTAAGTAGCAAATCAACTTCTATTAGTAGCAAATGTGCAGTAGCGAAAGTGCAAGGTAGCGAAAAGACCGTAATTGGTTGAGCATATGATGCTAAATCTACATGTTTGGCCTCTCGCCCCTGCATTGTGTTTATCCCTAGGCCAAAGCCAAACTTCTTAAATAATAGTTTGGCATGAAATGGAACTGCATAGCTGATAGTCCAAGTGGTTGGGGTTACTTTTTTGAGTAATGTAGAACATGTCTTGAAACTGAGAGAGCAAATTATTTCTAACTCATACAATGATGACTTCTCTTTACTCTTTTTTTTCTACTTTACTCTGTTAAATATAGATATTGCATCTATTAGTTGAAATGCAGCAAATGCTACAACAGTGACCTTAAGGCTCTCAGACGGCACATCATTCGCTGTTTTTTGTGTTTGATACATGAGGCTTCTCAATCTCGATATTTCTCCCCTTTTTCACACGCTGAACAGTTCGAGAGGGTTGATCATGAGAAATGTTTGTCAACAGAAAAGACCAGCTCACTTGTCGTGCCATTTGGTAAAAACAATCTTGCCTTTCTGTGCTTGAGCAAGCTCGCCTGGTTGTTTGATTATTATCAAAACATATGTCATGATTCTTTTTCAAGAAAGGCTTGACCATGTTCATTACAACTTGATAGCAAAGTCCGTGAACACGCTTCTCTGCTTCACTTCCCATGTAAATTTCGAAGTTCAAGACATAACCTTTTGACGAGTCGTTGGCCATCCAAACTTTGATGCTGTATTTCGTTGGCTTGGCAGGCATGTATTGCCTGAAAGAAGGTCTGCCTCTAAAGGCAATAATTCCTTCATGAACAGCAATGTTTTTTTTGGGCAAGTAGTATCTCTGGGTATTTTCTAGGACCTTTTTCAAAACCGGCCTTACTTTGAAGAGTAAGTCACAGTTGGCGTCCCCACATGGCGGTGCTTTCATTGAATCGTTGAAGTGCAGGAACTGCGATATTTCTTGAAATCGGTTTCTCCTCACCACAGATTTAACAGCTTGATTTCCGAGACAAGGAGCTGTAGACCAATAATTGGCGACTGCAGGCAAAACATTGCTTCCCATTATTATGCAAAGTCCAAAGTGTGTCTTCGTTTCGACTGCCGTTGTGTCTTTCCAGCAAGCAAGTTGATCGGGCTTGCTCACGAGTTGCTGTCGGGCATACCTATTGGTTTCCAAGACAATAAGCTGAAGATTTTTCTCTCCAAAAATTTCAAAGAAGAGATTGTTATCTTTAGGATTGTTTCCCAAGTCTATTAACAATGCTGAGAAACTACTGAATCCTGGAAGGGTAAAGTTTGAAAGTTCCTCCATCCACAACTCTTCATCAACTTCACCTTCGGCTTCCGATTCTTCAGAATCACTTTCTTCGCCTTCACTCAAGTCTGAAACTGGTCTAAGGCCATCCAAATCAATATTGGATTCATCTTCATCTTCAACTCTATCTTCATCATCGGAATCTCCAAAAATCGCTCTAAATTCCTCCTTGGTAACGGCAGGTCTCATTACGCCATGTTTTTTTGCTAAGCTTCCAATGACGAAATCTCTTTGCTCAATACTACCTTACTCAGTTGTCAAAATTATTATATGCAATTTATGGTATTCGAAAAACTTGAAAATAATGAGCTGCAATTGATAGCCCTCCTGAAAATGTTGCTAGCCATTTCATGTCACTAGCGACCAGGGTTATCTTAAAATGAACTGAATACCCTGCAATAGTGAATCGCTTTTTTTCTAATTCATCAATATCTCTACAAAGCATGGAGTAGTGAATGAATGAATGAAGCCTTTATTTGAAAATAAACTAAGTAAAGCCAGGGTAGTCCCTTCAGAGCTAATTAAAACTCTGCTATCCATGGAAGCCCTGGCAAATATTTACAAAAATAAATAAATACAAATAATATCAAAAGTTAATACGAAAGTTACGTCACATACATATGTACAAAATATTAAAATCTAAAAATTTATATCTATCTATAATATATAAAACCTACAAACTATTTACAAGATAAATGTATTATATAAAATACATCCATTATAACAAAAAGACTTTTTAGCAGTTTCTTTTCTAACTCTTGGCAAATATAACAATTTGTTCTGTCTGGTTACCCTAGGCTGATTAAAATGAAAATACTCTTTGAAAAATTGAGGGCAGTTACCCAATATACACTGGGATACTTTGGGAGGAATGTGTCGACTCTGTTCTACACGGGCATTATTTACGCAGTAAAGCTACACTTTATTGTGGCACATGTAAACATTACAGATATGTAGGAATACCGTGAAAACATACCAATGAAAGGCCCGGGAAAACCTAAGATAATCCCAAGGCAAAAATTACAACGATGCGGAGAAAAATTAGGGGAAAAACAATACAAAACTCATCGAATTGACAACACAGGTTGAGCACACTACTTCGAGCACATGGTTATTACATACCGCGCAAAGCACTACGGGAATCAATACGGAAACGTGGAATTGAACGCGGAAACTCCGGAGTTAATAATGCCGTTGTCGAGGATTGGCCTCAACAAAGCTTCTTTGCATACCTTATCATGGCAATATGTGATTCAGGACAGTTTGCTCTGGCAAGCAAAGAAATTTTCATTTTTGCTGCTTATTCTGTCGCCAACATTCATGAAAGACATCAGGCAAGCAGTTGCCTCGTCATCTTTGCCAACAGGTGCCCCATCAGCGCCAATGGCCAATTTTAAACTATATTTTGGATCACCAAAATGCAAAAGAAAATTGTTTTCTTCTAATTCTTTATCAATAGGAATATACATCTCAGCTAGCTCTAAGATAAACTTTTGTAAATCTCCATAAGAACCATCAATTTATTTATCCTTATCAAGATCATAACAGAAATCAGATTTGAGGTCTCTGACAGTACAAATGTTGATACTTTTAATAAAAGATTTGAGTTTCTCATAAGGTAGTGTGTTATGAACTTTACCAGCATTTCCTATTGGTGTTGCTTTTCTTGTCTTGCCTTTGCTTCTTTCATTGTTCATTGAAAGATGTAGTTTTATTGACTTATATTTCTCTTTACTAAGAAGACATTTTACATAGAGAACTTTAACACTTCTAATTAGGTCTTTTACGAAAATAAAGCTTGTCATTTAGATCCTGGCTATTTTCTTTATTAATTCAAGCTTAATATTTGAACATTGAGCGCAGCAGAACAAATCAATGAAAATGTCAATAAGAACAAGCATATGGACTGTAATGYGGCAGACTTTACTTAATGATACTATCATTTTCTTAGTTCATGTGATTAATTATTTTATTTATCAATTGAAAAGGTTTTCTATCAAAWRTTGCTCATTATAAATGCGAGGTCTATATATAGTTATTAACCGGGTTAATAACTAGCTATATATTGAGGGTTATAACAAAAATAAAGCCTTGTGAATAACAAAGAAAACCGTGTCAACTGAGAAATAATTTGCTTTTCAGAGCAGTATCTCAAATTAAAATATAATAAACTTATTTGGTTTGTCAGAAGTGCAGTTATAACATCTATACAATGGAGTAGTTTGATAAGCTCATATCTGTATCTTATTATTTGTTTTCATATCTCATGACAGAAAAGGGATTTTAGGACTCATTTGCGTTATCGAAGTTAATATTACTAAAACTTTTGAATGGCTATTTCGGTATTATTGAAGAATTTAATTTACAGAGCACATCCTCTAATGGCTGTTAAGGTAGTTTGTGTATTCGGGACAGAACAAATACCAGCGTCTTGAGAACCAAAGTTTTTGACCTACATAACTCAAGCTAGTGTATGGGAATTTCTATTCGCTTTTTTAACTCATTTACTGCCCGCTTGGTCTAATTTAGTATTATGACAGTTCCTTGCTCTACTTGAAGTTATAATTTGCTTTGCACTATGAACAGAACACAAGTGACAAAGCTTTTATTTGTATTCGTGAGACCTAGCTTAGCAGAATTTTTAGAATCAAGAAATGACAAAAACTCTACAAAACTAAACTAAGATTGTGAGCCTCACACAATTGATTTCAGTCTTTTCTTTTCCTCTGATTTATATTTTTCTCCTTAATTCGTGATACAGGGTCTTAAAAAATCATTCAATAGCTTACAGTGAAAAATCAGAAATCACTATATCTGTTTTTGCCAGTCCACCCTACTTATAAGAATTTTGTGCTCGTAAATTTCAACTCAAAGCCTGCCGAGTTATACTTTGATTAAACCAACATATCTCGTTGTTTTTGAAAGTTGAGTAATAGCAGCATCTATTGTACTTCAAAAAGTTTTACAAACAAGTTTTATCCTCTCAGAGAGCAGCCTCGCTGATCAGCAATTACTACTGTCCGTTATTGACAAAAATGCTTCTAACCTCATCATTGAGCAAACCTGTATTATGTAAAACTTGTGCTCCACTCATTTGTGAAAGTACTGGCTCGCTCTGAGTGATCTACCTTCTAGGCACACATGGGCAAAAGTCTTGTGAAGACCGCCTGTGAGATGAAGTCCACAGTACGGACACTTATCATCTGCATGGGTGTGTTTGGGCAGATGGTGAAAATGTATTAGATGAGTTTTGAGGTATTTAAATTTCTTGAACATCGGTTGCTCTATGCAAGCATAGGAAGCACGGACACAAAACTCTCGCATTTCTCTTCTCCATTGTGATCTGAGTATGAAAGAACGGTGTGAGTCGGCAGGATATATATAGGTGCGTGTCATAACACTTTTGGGCAGTTAGAGAAGAGTTTCAAATTTCAATCACAAAATTGAACAAATATTTAGAATACGACACGGTATTTTTGTATTAAAGTACTGCAGCTAAGTACCAGTTCTTGAGATGAGTGTGCTATCAAGTTTATCAAACGGACGTCACAAATTTTGTTGATCTTAGCTTTATAATCAAGTTGGCATCTCTTCATGCTTTTTGATTGCCTTCACCCCAGATGATGCGGCAAAGCATAGTTAATTATCAACTATGGGCTAGTTTGAGCGTGGGTCAAGGGAACTCTAATTAATTATTGCAGCAAACTTGGCTTTCTTATGATGATGCATATGCACTTTCTGATTTGTAAGAAATTTCTCAATACTGTATGCCGGGCTGCCAATTAGTTTACAATAGTAGAACCGTCTTTAATTTGCCGCTCAACAATTCTATTGTTTTATTACGTATTGAAAGGTGCATGCATCTCAGAAGTGCTGCACAGCTAACTGCCAGTCAGAGCGAAACATGATGTATTGAGTATCAAAAGTATTAGATAGGCGAGTTGATTTGGAAGGAAGAGTACAATTCCTACTTCACTGGAAAGGATACAGCTCCAAACATGATTCTTGGGTGGACGTAAACAACTACAAGTAAGCCGTCAAACTGGCTTTTTTTTAAACGGAAACAGGTTAGTTACTGATACTTAATGGGAGCTGTCACTAAGAAATTGTTCATCACAATAATACTTTCCTTATTTAAACACGTTTATCCCCTGTTGTTGAAGCAAATGTCAATAGAACAATAGAGCATTTCTTGATACATACTCCCAAAACTGTTTTCTCAGTATTTCGAACTGTCTTTCTATGTACGATGTAGAGTATGGCTCTCTGCTTCCAATTCCAAACAATGCTACGACCCTCAAACGATAAAGCGCTATAGCCATATAAACGTACAGCCATACAAACGCTATAGCCATACAAAAGCTACAGCGCTATACAAATGCTACAGCGCTATACAAACGCTACAGCGCTATACAAACGCTACAGCGCTACAACCATACAAACGCCTACAGTGCTACAACCATACAAACGCTACAGTGCTACAACCATTCAAACGCTACAGTGCTACAACCATACAAATGCTACAAACGCTAAAGCGCTACAAACGCTACAGCGCTACAAACGCAACAACGCTACAAACGCCACAGCGCTACAAACGCAACAACGCTACAAACGCCACAGCGCTACAAACGCTACAGCGCTACGACTTGAAATATTTTTTTCTGAAGCCCAAAAAGACTTGGCTATCTTCATTATTCATAAACTTTATATATTTTTAAATCAGTATTCGTAGTCTTTTACGCACTAATATCTCAGCGAGTTGAAGAAGGTTGAAATGATTACTAGCAAATGTTCCTCCCTAAACGATTAAAAACTAACACCATGTACATCTACATTGTATTTTTTATTATTCTTTGAACGTCACTGTCATATTGCACTCCTTTCATACACATCACGTAATAATAGAGAGTTTAAGCATCACGTTAACGGCAAACGTGAAACGTCCGTTGACTAGCAAAAAATTTCTTTAAAATTAGCAAAAAAGGAATCGAAAAACTCTCCAAATCGTAGATAAACAAAAGAATATTTCTCGTTGGTAAGTGGGTTTGCGAAACCTAAAGTGATTTACAGGAAAACGAACAAAATTTGGTCACGTTTGAGTTTAAAAACTCTCTATCGTAACTTTAACATTCGCGACAAACGAAAGGAATGTTCCTTGCTTTATTCAACGGAAACTTTGCACAAGAAGTGTGCTGCCACTGTCCACACCTTGTACACTCAACCATGGCTATTCTTCCTTTATTGCGGTGGCAGATGTTGCATATTTCCTTGTCCTCTGTAAACAAGGAGCAAACAAACAAACAAAATAATAACTATTTCGGAACTAAAAAAAATACATTAACAATATTTCTTTTCTCCTTTGAAAAGTCAGAGTTGGGTTTGCAAAAATTAGACGTTTGCGTCCTTTTAGAACTGGTACTTGATATTTAGCATGCATTTGTAGTTAGAAGATGGTGCTACGGCTTAACAGAATGGGGAGGTACATGGTGTTGCTCAATAAACCTCAGAAGAAGGAATAAACATGAATCAAGTATGGATAGGTGAATGCTCTACTTTGTTATGCTGCAAGAATGTACTTAGCCACCTTTAATACAGTAAAGTTGACATCAGGTACAAGTTTTCTTCTTGATGAAAAAAATCAAGACACAAACCCATTCGATTTATTTTGCTCATTCCTTTCCTTTTTGGGCCTTGGTTCCAATGGACCCACTTGGACTTGAAAAGGCAATCCTAAAAAAGGATTACAATGACAATAACTAACAATAATTATGCAATATCCAGTGATAATCACTGAGCCTAAGGTGAATTGTACACCCCGGCTGCCTCTTTCAAAGTAAATAAATAGGGATAAATAGTAGCATTAACAAAAATAATGACGGTGATGATAAAAAAAAAAAAATTAGGCCCATCATTATATTCAACGTTTCCACTTCTTCTTCTTTCTTCCTCAATTCTTCCTCCTGCCTTTCAACTTCTTCTTCTTTCTTCCTCAATTCTTCCTCTATTGTCACGTCTTTCTCTTGACCTAGAAGGGGAAAGAAGGAAAATAGAAATTGAGCAGTTGAAGAAAGAGCAAGAATGTCTGAAGGCTAAAATAGAAGAGCTGAATAATGAATGTGTCTATCATAAGAATAGATATTTTTCGTTGGATAAGAGTAGTGAAGATGATCAAGCAGTCTCATTCTATACTGGTTTCCCAAATTACAAGACTTAAATGGCATTTTATAGGTACTTGGAGCCTAAAGTGCAGAACCTGCAATATTGGAAAGGAGAAAAGGGATTTAAAGAAGGCACTGCATACCAGGAGGGAAAGGATACAAAAAAACCTGGGCCTGCTAGGAAACTTGATCCACTGGATGAATTCTCTCTGGTCCTTGTTAGTCTAAGGGTTGACCTATTTATTTATGATATAGCAGACCGATTTGGAATCAGTGCTGGTTTGGCATCAAAAATCTGCAACACATGGATTAATTTCTTATATTATGAACTCAAACTTATTTTCCCTTTTCCAAACCAAGCTCTCATCAGAAAAAACATGGCCAAAGAATTTATTAAATACTCTACGAGCAGAATTATCTTAGATTGCACTGAAATATTCAGTGAAAAGCCTTCTTCCATGCTAGCACAGTCCCAGACGTGGTCTCAATATAAGCACCACAACACATGGAAGATACTGGTTTGCATTTCACCAAATGGTCAGGTGACATTCAAATCAGATGCATGGAGTGGAAAAGTTAGTGACAAACAGATAACTCAAGACAGTAGAGTTTTAGAACTTCTTGAACCAGGCGACAATGTGATGGTCGACAAAGGATTCGAAATTGAAGATATCGTCCCACCTGGTGTACGAGTGAATATGCCTCCATCCTTGCAGTCCAGACGTCCGTTTTTTGCAGCAGATACTGAAAAAACAATGAACATTGCTTCTGTCACAATCCATGTTGAGAGGGCTATACAACGGATAAAAACCTTTCATATTTTGGATGGAAATTTCCCCCTTTCACTAGCTCCATACATATCACAGGTATTCACAGTATGTGCTTTATTGACTAATTTTTGGTCTCCACTTCTGCCTCCAGGTGATGAGGATAATCATTTAAAGCTTGCTAAGTGATTTTTAAGATTTATTTTACTAGTTTTTATAAATGATTGTATTTGAATTCCATCATAATGATTCATTAAACAATAACCAATGTGCATGAGCTCAGATTTCAATCATAGAAAAGCATAATGAGAAATTCCTTTTGCCCTTTTCTGCTTTCTCAAAAAATTCTCTTCAATTCCTTTTCCTTAAACTTTTTTGTTTATATTTATATATTATCACACACAGTTTTTGAGTCACTTTTCTGACAGTTGATTTTTCTGTTCATTTTTAAAGAAGTTTGATGCACATTGCCTATTGTTATAATTTAAACTAAAATACTTACAGAGTTGGAGTTTTCGACATTTCTTGGTACCATATATGGCTTCCATCCACCATGTTGATAAAGGATTGTGTTTCTCTAAATCCTCCGTGTTAACATTTCTGGTAAAATGCCTTCTTTTAGAAATACTCTATTTTGGGTAAAGTATGTGTTTCCCATTCCTTTCCTTTGAAAACTCGTTCCACATAAAGGGGCATATTATCTCCAAAATAAATAACAAAGTCTACATATGGTAACTGACAAACATACAGTTGTCCTTGTATTGGATGATAGTAATTATGAACCTCCTTCAGGTGGATGCCTTCATTTTTTTGCAAGCAAAATGTTTTATCTTCTGCAGCTTCCTCAGCAGTTTTGCCCACTTTACTTAAAGGACACTTAACCTCCAGTCCCCATTGCTCCTTAGTTTCTTCATTGATGATTATTCTATCTAAACTGGACCCAAGGTATGGTTCCTCTTTGATATTTTAAGTCCAACTTCCTTTGCCTTAAGCTTCAGCCCATGCTACCTTTTCAGATTCAAGTAAGCAGAAACTGCCCGTCCTTCATTTTCCAAGCCATACTGAATAGCTTCTGTTTTAGGATTTGTGTAAAGTGTGCTTTTTTAGATGGCTCAACCTTGGTTTTGGCAGCAGTGCCAAAATTGGATGAAGTTAAAAATTCCTTTCTCTTATTTTTCCACTCATCATTTTGTGATTTTCCTCTGGTAGCCACTTCTATATTTAAGATTTGACTGTCAGTTATGGTCATGTTTGATACATATATATCTATCATTTCTTCAAAGTTCCTGGATGCAATGTCATAACAGTCCCCAAAAAGTAAGTCTAAGATTTCCTCACTTTTTTTTGGTGGAATGACATTTTCACTTCATGTTGAACTCAATGGTTTAATGTCATGGAATAAGAAAAATGAACTTGATTTCATTGAATGCTGTAAATCATTGCAAAGAATGTCAAACTCATATTTGTTGATTTCTCTTTCCTAAGCTTCCCAAGGGTCGTACTTGATAACTTTTGATGCAGAGCGTATATTTTTCTTCCCAAATTGAATTTTACGAATAAGTATCTCGTCAGAAGGCTTAGCTGCAACACTCTGATTTCTGGGAACCACCCATTAAGACAGCATGCGCAGACCACGTGACTACCCATAACTGTCACAGTGACCTRCGGGACTAGGGCTTATTAGTTATTTGCATGGCTGAGGATCAAACTGTTTTGTATCTAGGTAAGGAGAAAGTCCTGCTTTTCCTTAGGTTATACTTAGACATCTTGCAATTTGGCAAAAGAAGGTGAAAATTTGTGTTGTGGGTCGTTAATGTCATAACTTTGCAGATATAGACTCCCTTCATTCAAGTAGAGTGGGAAGCCCAGAGAGTTGTAGAGATCCTACCTTTGACAAGTTTTGATAAATTATTCGAATTTCCATGTCAATCAAGTCACACAGCAAACAATCATGTGGTTTAAAAGTACAGATAGGAATCAGAGGAGGCTTACAAGTACTCGGTAATGGGGTATTTACCCAACAATAGGCACAACTAGATAGAACCGCAAACTGGTGGCAGAATTAAAAAAGAAGCATGAGTTTTGAGAGAAACACAATGCCCTTTGGTTCCTCACGGCAATCTTTTCCTTGAGTTTCCAATCTGAATATTTAAAAGAAATTCAATTCCATTTTATAAATAGTTATACTTGTAGGTTTCATGTAAGTTGTGGACAATTAAAAGCTCTCAATTTTCATATAATCAACAAAAATTGCATTAAAAATATCAGAAAAGCATTCCATTAGAACAGGAAATACCACTATCCGAGAAATTAAAATTACAACGTGCATTTGATGAATGTGAAAATAAAAATACGCAAATAAAAAAAAAAACAACATAGCATCTGGCTTTATCAGAAAGAAGTATTTTTGTATGTTTGGTATAATTAAAAGGGGTTCTTTGCTGATGAAATTTAAAAACTGCTATTTTACCTGTGGTTTACATTTCCTTGTCTGACATTATTAAGATTATCATCACCATGTTGAACATAATCATCTTCTACAGTACTGCTAGATGTGATTGGGTCATCCTCCATTGGAAATTATTCATCATGCTCTAAACCTTTTTTCACTTCTTGCTCTATTTCTTCATTGGTGTCAGTTTCCATGTCAATTTGCTCTTGATCAACAGAAAGCATTTTTTCTTCTACTACATCCTCAGTCTGACAGCCTGTCACAAACAAAATATACAACATCATGTAACACATATAACAGATTGTGCAAGTGTGTATTCAGGGACAAAGGAGCCACCCCACTTTTGAGAAATAAATAATTTTTCAAATGAAGATGAAGATTTAGTAGAGGTAGAAATAGCTATGGCATTTTCTATGCAAGTTTATAACAATCAAATCAAATTTGCAGTTGAACCACCTAATTTTTATTTCAGGTCCACCCAATAAAAATTTGCTCCTGCATCCCTGGTATTTGCATACAAAGCATGAAAGCAATGACACACCAAATTTGAATAAGTAAAACACACATGTACTTGTTGTTATTGTGACTGGATGTTTAGCTGTTTCTGCCAGTGSCTCTGTCATTTGAACATTTGTCTTTTCCAGCCTATTTATTTTCACTTTTATTGACCTAATGTCTGTCCTTAATTGCTGGGCCCAGTTTTCAGATATAAAGTTTGTGCAATAACTGTCAACTGGGAGTTCCTGCAAAATTCAGTTTTACCAAGAACTGTTAACTTTTTGAGTTGGTGTTATAGTGATTGCAATAACCCAGTGAAATAAGAGTGAGTTTATTTAACCCAATGAAAAATTGGCATGGTACTTGTAATAATAAGCAGAAGTCTCTAAATTTATTGCTCTATTTTGTTCTTCATAACTAGCAACACGAACTTGTAAGTCATTTAATTTTAATTGTTTCGCATGAAATCACTCTAGCAGACTACTAGAAGAATTTATTTGCCTTCTTTTCTTTTGTGTTTATTGATTATCACACTATTTTTTATCTCGTGGATTTATGGCAACCATTCTATGATTGTCAGGTATAAATGAATGGCCTATCATATATAGATTCTTACGTATGATCAATGGCCTTCAGGAACTTATCTAAGAGACCTTTGTGGGTATCCCTTGGGATTCTCAGCTTCTTCTTTGCCATAAAATACCTTAATCTCAAAAATACCTTTTTTTTAATCCAAAGCTTTGATACTTTGCAACCACTTGCTCTTTGAAGCTTGAATTGGACAAGAACTCGATTAGCAGCCAATGGATATTTATTACTATTTTTAGCTTTCTCGCCTACTAATTTTCTCCTTTTTCTTGCCACCTTCACTCTTCCCACATTTTGTTTATGCTCGTTGAAGGCTAGTTCTGCCTGTAACTTATCTCTGTTTTCATTCCACTTAAATACGAGAGATTTACCTACTCCTCTTTTTCCATAGTGTATAATATCCTTTGACAGCGCCCCAGTCTCTTGTCAACTTTTTCAGTGTTGGTTTGCTGGACAGTTATTTCATCATTCTTCATGTTGACAGTAGGGATATTTAAACCTGAAGAACCTTCAACTGGCTTGTCTGTAAGTGCGCTCTTGCAGTTGACATCGATGTGCTTGAATCGCACATGTGTATCTAGGTACTGCTAAAATGTTAGTAATGTACTTAATTACCTCCAGTTGGATACGTTTATCTGTTGTTCGCTTCACAATGGAATCTATTGTCTGCTCTAAACAATTTTTTTCGTTCAAAAGCTACAAGAAAACGAAGCTTTTTTGTTAAGATAATAAACCTCCACAATCATTTATTGGCGTCATTAACCGACTTAAGCACCTACCAGGCCTAAACGTGTTTGTGGTACATACCTCTGTAGCTTTGTTCTTGTAACTTTCTCTTTCTTTTTCAATAGAAGCAGCATTTTTACGGCAATTTGTCAATTCTTTCGTTATCTGTATTACCCTGAGAACAGCACTCAGATACCATAATGATGTTATCAAGGAAAAAATAAATAACTAAATAAATAAAAGGCTGAATTTCTCGGCTTTGTAAACTTCTAAGTGATCCTGTCTTGAGCCGAAGTTGGTCGTTTTTTCACTTGTTTCTGTGTTCGTCTGTAATAAGATAGAGCTTTTGTCAGTATACTGTATTGAGTACTTAGTCAGGCAAATGCTGTAACTGACATACCGTTTTAGGTGCGCTGACTTTGTTTAGCTCCGCAAGCTTTACTTCACCGTTGAAAATTCCGCAAAGAATTTCGAAGACTTCAGCCTCTTTCATTGTGGGCATGATGTTCTTGAAGGTGTATGTTGTTATTCTACCAGACTTTAGTACTGCAGACGCATAGTGCTCTATCTTCAAAATCTTACCCCAATTCCTTTCGTTGACTGGGCAATTTACTCATATTTCCTGAAGTTCTACAAGAAGACAGTGACAATTGCACGTGTTTCTGAACCAAACTAGAGTAAAATCATAAATTTTAGATGCTTACTTTAATGTTGGTGAATGTATTCTTGTTTTGCATCTTCCACATCTTGATCACATCCTTTTCAGTCACCTGGGAAGTTTTAAAAAGTTCCATAAAATTTTAGCGATAGCGATCGTAACTCAATCCAAATGTGCAAGTGCTGAGTTTTTTTATGATCTCTATCAAGGTTTCATAGGATACGGTTTCCAATAGGAAAGTAGTGAACCTTTCCCCTTAATCAACTT